ATTCTCCTTTCAAAAGATCTTTGATTTCTCCGTAATCTCCAAATGCGAGAATAACTTTTCCAAGTTGTTTCGCATACAACAGTTCTGCTTCACAGTAATTGCTCTGAAAGTATTCCTCATTGAGCCAGACTAAGAAACAATCGCATTCTTCGACGGCAACTTTCAGTGCTCCTTGCAAATCAGCGAGCATCGGCATGTCATCTTTGTCAAGCCATGTTTTATAACCAAGAAATTTGAGCCCATTCCGGAAAGTTTCCATCAATGGCTTGTCCTTCGATCTGTGGCTTAAAAAGAAGCTGAATTGGGGGCTGAATTTTGTGTATCTGATCTTTTTAGTCACCAGAGGCACGATGTTTTCTTCAAGGTACTTACGAAGCTTTTCGGGCTTTCCAACGCTGTCGTTTATTCGACGAAGCTCGCGCCAATTTGCGAGCTCATCCTCCATGTCAAAGGAATCTACTTCTTCCTTGCTATTTATTCCCAGGTAGACACATTTGACAATTTCCATCGTCCAGGTCGTGCTTCCACTGTACTTAAAGTTTGTCAAGCGAACTTCAATTCCCTTTTCGAGAGCGAAGTCAAATGTAAACACAAGCCACCAGTATCCAGTTTTCTCGTTGAGGCCATGATTCTCCTTGATTTCGATGTTGTACTTGTTCAGATCTGTCTTAATGGCACGGATCTTTACCTTGGAGAAATCGATTTTATCTGCCATTGCCGAACAAATATTTTCAAAGAAGCGGTGGAGGTGTAAACATGAATGGCAGGTCACAGCAGTTTGGCGATCGGACTCTGTACGCAAGCGGAAATAGTTAACCTTTGCAAACCTAGCTCATCTAGAACTCAAGAAAGAGAGGAGATTGGAAACTGGAAATAGTGAGGATTCTGGTAGCAAGTACACGACGAGCACGGTGTTATTGAGCCAAATTTTGAAATAAACGAAATGTTTGCTTCTCCGATTTAATGAAAGACACAATAGAGAGACTTTCATAGTGACCTACTGATGAAATTGTGCATCAGAGGAAAAGACTTCGCGCTCCTCCACGGGCTCGATCTAGACCGTGGAGGCCTTGTTCCTTATTATTCTGTTATTAATAGAAGTGTAGACCGTTTGCACCGTCCCAACATTTTATAAAATCATAGGCTATCCCGCGGCCATTTCAGTCATTTAAAAAACGAAAACTGTAAGAGAGGTTTGGAAATGAAGCGCAAGTTATGATCAATTTTCCATGTGATTCTCTAAATGTTGATAGGGTAACATATGCATGGATCATGTCCTCGATGAAGTATGAAGAACCAGCTTGAATAAAACTGTCATTACGTCACAAGATAAAGACAAAAGTATCTGGATGTTTCGCTCCATTGCATGTTCGCCCACCTTCGCGAGTTCATCGACCACCTGTGGTAAAACAAGCAGTGTGGTTTTTCTTTTTAAACCGTCCGATCTTCCCTAGTTCTTTTCAACGTTTAATCTGTTTTTAAATCATTTCATCCTTACACACACACACACTCCCAGTAAAAACAGTGCTAGTACCTCTTGCAATTTCCCTTTGTTTGATTTCCACTAATCTCCCAAACAAAGTTCTTTCTATGAGAAGTCTCTTATCTCAACAAGACTACAGCCGTTGTTGTGATGATTTTTTAAATTATTTTTTTACATACCTCATTTAATTTGTAATGTTAAAAATGCGTCCATCTCATATATTTCACCTTTAGGCAAAATGAACCCAATACCAGTAAAATGAATAACAGAATATGTACAGGTGATACCTTCTCTCGCTTTTTCCCATAAACATAAAACATCTCTTCTATACTTTATAACCATTTATATTTTCATGTGCCTCAAAAAAAAAAAAATCAACAAAAAGTAAAACTTGTAGCGTCACTAGTGAGTATGGATTTTCTAGGGAATTAACCCTTTAAACTCTTAGAGTGACCAGTATCTAATTTCTCCTAACAGTAATACTGCTGAATCATTCATTAACATTGTGAGAATAAAGGAAATGACAACCAACCTTAGAGGCTTTGATTGTAAAAGGAATTCTCCTAACCAGTGCCAGAGGAAATGTAAAGAGAAGCATATGGAGAATATGGCTTCTGATGTTAGCGCGGCAAAACATTAAAAAAAGAGTACAAAAAACGTTGCACTTTGATTTTAAATTGCTGAGATACAAATGATCGTGGAGAGTGATATAAAGAGATACTTTTCACAGAGTATGTGAGCAGTTGATAGGCAATAAGTTACCAGTCAGTCTCCAGCTTTAGGTCACCGTCTTCTATGTTACTCTACTGTTTTCACATAACTAAGGGCTGGTGCCTCTGGAGACGGGGTCTGAGGAAACCTACAACCACACCCTTCTAAGGGGGACATTTTGATTTTTTCCCCAGACATTGGTGTTTGCCTTTATCAGGACATTATCAACATGATCATCCTCAGCCTTTATGTCAGTCTTGCCAGTCTCTGTTACTCATTAGGCATTTTAGTCTCACAGTTTCCATGATAAACATGAATTGTCTCAGAACAGTTGTGATATAAATTAAACACTTCTGCATAACCATGATCCCTCCACCATGTGCAGAGCTGACGATTCCATGAACAAGGAAGCACATGGAAAAAATCAGGATAATCCAAGTTGAGCAATGAGTAAAAATCTTGATCTCCAAGATGTCCTTGGAAGGTGTATTTTCTTGCTATCTCCATCACTGCATTGTTATCAAGAAGCTGGTTGTATTTCTTTGAGTCACGCATATGTTGTAAGTCAATTAACATGACGCCACTGTTAAAACCTGTTGCTCCATCTGGAGGCGGTTCTCCAGCTTTTGTACCAGCATGCCTATCACGATACATGTGTAGAATGTGTCGGTAAACAGGCTGCTGCTCTCGTGCTAGACCAAATATGGTTGTGGCTTTAAAGTTATCAAATATTGCAAACAGTTGCTTGATGTCTGCCTGGAAAAACAGGTCAGAGTCCAGTGATATGATACGTTTCATGGTCTGCGGCAGCACATGATGAATGGCAGTGGATACAAAGAAAAGAGGGTGATTGAAGTATGAATTAGTGCCACTACCGAAGAGATTCTGTGAATTAAAATTTAAAAGAAGGTTTCATTAATTCTTACATTTCCATCATAATTGATGTTTTATACTCTTACGTTTTTGTTGTAATTAGTATATGATCCATCCAGGCTTATGCATGCAACTGCATAGAAAAAAAATAAAGAAAATTGACAAATGTAAGGCTGAATGGATTGACATGAGCCAATCTAGACAGAGGCGTCTGGCCCTGCAATCACATGGCTTTGTTTCAAAAGCTTAAAGTAAAATAGAAATGAGGAAAAACTTCACCTTTCTCCATAAATTGTCTGTTCTAAATTGGACTCAAAAAAAAAGTTTTCATTCTAGAATCATTTTTGTGGTTGTCCCAAATATGTCATCTATTGTGTCCTATTTTTAATCCTCTAACTCCCAGATCAAATTTGTAATTCTCCTTACTGTCAACCGTAAAATTCCTATAATGTTAGTTCAGAGAATTTAGTGTAGGATTAATTAATCATCCCCAAATTGACATTTTTCTTTATTCTCATCACTTATCTGGTTGATATTATATTGATATTGTGAGGAGAAATTCCATCTTGGTCACTCATGGGAGTTAAAAGATGAAACAAATTCTCCTTGATAGCACTGTAAAAATTCTGTAGAAAACAGTATCAGAGGAAAGGTATACATACCTGAATTTCTTTAGTGATTAGTTTGACCTCACTAGATACATTGTGAACATCATAATAACTCACATTCAGGCTGTGCTTACACACTTTACCAGCCTGATTAAATGTATCCTCACAGGTAAGTTTTCCAACTTTGTCTGTTATAATATGAAAAGCCAAATTTATGCTGGAGTGTTCACAGATGGACAACACACATCGTTTGAACCTTTTAGCTAAAGAGCTTGTCTGGGAAACTTTGGCAAGGATCATCATAATGTTGTTCTCCTCTTGCTGTGAAATAACAGGAGTTACTCCTTTCTTTTCATTCTTTTTCTTCTTCCTAACAGTTTGGTTTCCATCAAGGTTGTCACTGTGGTTTTTTTGGGAAACTTTTTCAGGCCCTTTATGGTTAGGAACAAGAGACTTCTCTTCCATCAATGATGTCTTCTTAATTAACTCTTCATCACTTGCTTCGCTTTCGAACGGTGAGTGTTGAGCTTTATTCTTATGCTGCATGTCTTTCTTCAGTGCTTTATTTTGCATTTTCCTGTGATCTAAATCATTTTCGGCTGTCTCAACCTCTGCCTCTTTCAACCTCATTTTATATTCTGCATCAGATACCACCTTGCTGTCGTCTTTAACTCCTCCTTTGATCTTTTTCGTTAAATTATCTTCTTTCTTTTTGAGTTTACTAAAGCTCAAATCTACCATAGAAGGTGGATTTTTGTCATCGTCCATCGAAGGTAAACTTTGCTGCAGTTTTTTTGCGTTTTCACGCTGCACTTGATTCTGCTTCCAGCCAATATTCTTGGGAACATGTTGGATTAGACTTCCTGCCACAAGATTTAGTTCCTGGGCATTTTGCTGCTCTGGAACTGAAGAGTAGAGAAACCTGCTAGCGATCACAAGAAGCAAAAGAAGTCCTATCACAAGAATTCGGGCAGGATGCCTCATACAATATCTAAATAAACTTGCCCCGACCGCCATGTTGTTTTCACTACATAACTATTTTTACCTCCTCGGGGGTAGGCACGGTTGTGAATATCGAACCTAATTGTTGATAAGAATCATTACAAAAACAGAAATTCCCGAATTTTTGTGCCGAATCGAAGTTTTAGCTGCGAAATATGTTTATAGGGCTCAATAAAATAACAACAGTACATTATAATTAAAAACATATATTTCCAAATAAGTTTCTTTTTTAAATGAGTTTTCGGCATTTCATTCTACCCCTCCCCACTGAGAAGTATTTCCAAAGGGGCAGTCGCACAGCTAGTCAGCGGGTAGTTGCTTAATCAAAATGGCGGCCAAGATCGCCAACTCGTGCAAGCAACTTCGGCCTGTAAAATTTCCTTTGCGATCGCTAGTGTTACGAACATTCTACAGCAGTAAATCATTGGAAAATATGGGGAAAATTACATTGTTTTCTAATCCTGAAGTTCAGTCATTATTAAAGAAACTCACAGGTCGTAATTTGGATAAAATATACGCCATGCGCAGAGGAGAATTTGAAGTTCCATCGTACAAACTAATGACAGATGCAGAGTACTTAGAGGTAATTTTTCTTTTGTTTGTTTCTCTCAGATCTATTTTCTAAGTGGTCTAAAAGAGCAGATCACGTATATACGAGCAGACACGCGCATATGTATGAAAATTTAGAGTTCATAATTGTTTTTGTTTATACTAGGTACAACATAGAAATGAAGAAGAAGCCGAAGCTATGCTTGAAATGCCACCAGTGATGGAAGAGAGACAAGAGATCGATGAAATTATTGAAGAAAAAGAAGAGCTGGCGCAGTTTTCAGAGTCAAATTACGTTTTTACAGATATCAGCACAAGTGAATCTGATAGGGTAGTTCAAAGTCTTCTCTCTTGTAAAATAAGTTTTTCTGTTTTTTTTTTAACTTTTTCAAAATTAGCGTTACTCTAGGGCAATATATTGCCTATCAATAAATGAGAATAATTGGATTTGTGGTGGGAAGCTCTACCGAGGTCCAATAAATGTTCCATTCCCCATTCCCTTTCCCCTGAGTTCATAATATGCGAGAAAATGTGTAGCAGTTAGGGGGAAGACTTAAGTATCAGAGCTTGGGAGCTTAAGGGTTAATGAGGATGGAACTAAGCCTAAGTTTACTTGATCGTGTTGTTTGGTCATAGTTTTTTGTTATTTTAATCTTCTAATTCCTCTTCCTTATATTAAAACATAGTATTACATAACATAAATGGCCTTGTGGTGTGCTTTTTTTTTACTTCTCATATTTATATTTTGATTTTTTTCAGACAAGGGCAATAACAGTGAGAGAACCAAGTGGCAGATTACGAAAAGCATCATGGGAAGAAAGAGATAGATTGAATTTTATATATTTCCCTAAGCCTGGAAGACAGTATGAAATGCCAGAACTCCTCACTGATGAAGGAATGGTGGTAATGTAAACTGTTCTGTTGTTTTACTTTTATCATTTATTACAATTCTCACTCACAGTTAGCACGTGCACTGTGATTAATCCGTTAACCCCCAGATCAAATTTGTAATTCTCCTCACTATCAACTATACAATTCTTATAATGTTAGTTCAGAGAATTTAGTGTTGGATCAAGTAATTATCCCCAAATTGATGTTTTCCTTTATTCTCATCACTTATCTGCTTGATATTGTATTGATATTGTAAGGAGAAATTATGTCTTGGTCACTCTTGGGAGTTAAAGGGTTAATCAATTTAGAGCACTGTATTTCAGTGCAAGGCTCACTTAATTCAAAAGTTTGTTTGAATTGAAATTTCTCCCTCTATTTGAAGCCAAAGATATACTCAATATCTTACTGCTAGAGTTCATAGGAGTCCTGGAAAACCTGGGATTTTATTTCAACATTTTCCAGGACTTTCCAGTCCTGGAAAAATACTACAGGTCCTGGAAAGTCCTGGAAATCTGCTTAACTCGAACAATAAAGTTTTCAGAATTTATGTTATAAGAAATGTGTGTAGACTGTAAGGAGAATTGATTTTGAAATCTTGGGAATAAAAGGGTTTAACCCTTTAACTTCCACGATCGGATTGTTAATTCTCCCCTCTACCTACTACACATTTCCTTGTAAATTAGTTATGAGGATTTGATGTGGGATCAATATAACAACTACTAAATGATCAGTATAATGAATATTCGCATTACCTCTTTGTTGGGTGACATAAGGATAATATGGGGAGAAGTTTCATGTTGATCACTTCTGGGAGTTAAAGGGTTAAGGTGAAATTTGGAGCTTTGGAAGAGTCCTTGAAATTTTTTTCTGAAAAAGTCTTAACCTTAAGTTGTAGAACCTTGTTTTTTTCCGTTTGTATCTTAGTAGAGAAAAACTTGGTCAGTAACTTACAGTAGAAGTATTGACCTTGAACTTGGTTAGTTTTCATTTTTGTTTTGATGGTTTTATGAAAATTGAATAATAATTTAATAGGGGTTTTTATCGTTTGTCTCACGATATAGAGTCAGACTATCAATATGAATTTATAGCAACATTTCACCTGCTATACTGTTAGTCTTCATCAGTTGACAAGGTTGAAAATTTTGTGTCACTATATGTAGCACTTGTGTTTATTGTCATTGGTGTGTTATGGTACACTGTCATTGGTGTGTTTTGATCCTCATTATAATTCCAACTAGCAGCATGTTATCTAACATTTAATAACTTTCCTCTTATTCATTCAGAGTTGGGTGATTTATACTGAGAAAGGCACTTAAAATGAATTTAAGGAGCTCACCTTTGCTACTACTTTTTTTTGGAATCTTGGTGGAACTTTTTAGTGATTATATCATTTCTTCTGAAATTTATCATGTTAAATGCCATAAGCTTTGAGCAAATATTCAACTTGGTTTCTTATAGCTCAAGGATAAACTAAATATGCAGAATTTTTTAATAAGTTATGAAAATCTTTTCCTTAAATTCTAAGAAGTCTTTGAACTCTTTCAGGTTGTGTTTCAGCAAAACAGACATGAAGATGTTCTAGATCTGGCTTGTGTTCAGTTTGAACCAGACTCAGCAGATTACATCAGAGTATGTGGCAGTTAGATGTCAATAGTAATTTCTATCCTGTAAATAACTAACTCCATTCTCCTCTAAAACCATTTGGTCTAACCGATACCATTTATATTTTATATGGGATAGACTGATTATCCTGTCAATCATCTTGTTAGTTTAAAACTTCTATTAAATATCAGAAATTTAGCATTAGTACTCGATGCTTTTATTTTGATGTTTATAAAACACTTTGCACCAGAGTGTTTTGTTTGCTGATGGGTGAGTCAAAATTTTGGAGAAGCCCAGAAAGCAAACGCAATGTGTAATAAATTTCTCTAACCCATCTTTTCTGAAAAAGTAGCTCCATTTAAAGTAGACCATTTTAATAACTAATTTTCATAGAAAATAGAAGATGGATGCTTAGTACTAAGTTTTACTCAGAAATAAAGACAAAAGATAAAAATCATTGAATTTTTTGCACATGCACAAACACGCTTGTGGATGGCATTTTAAACTGAATGTACAGATATGTCCAGTGTATGAAATGATCTCATCTTATCTGGAATTTGCGAATTAGAATTTGACTAAGAAACATTTAGAGACGAGCTTTATTTGAAAAAAGTTTTAGATTTTCAATTATTTAGGTCTATAGGTTTTCCTCTGTTTTCAGTTTTGATAATTTGTGATTGTATAAACTGGGAATGGGATTTTTAAATTTCTGTTTTAATTTATTTTGTGCAGGTTCATCACAGGACATATGAAGACCTACTCACACATAAAAAGTTTGAAATTTTAAGATCAACAAGACATTACGGAGGACTTCTATATTATTTGGCAAAACAACAAAAACTCAATGAATTGCTGGATAATATGATGGACAGGGAACAGTAAGTTTAAAATCTCTTCATTAATTAGACAAATGAAAATAAAAAAGTCTTATCTTCTAGAGTTTTTGTTTTATTTTTGATGCTTTGTGCTATGCCATTATCAATTACTATCTTGGACAGCAGTAAACTTTGCTTTCAGAATGCTTGGATGTTGTCTGGATCTCTTAAAATTTCCATATATTTATTTCATCTTGTGCATTGATCAATTGGAAGCATCAGTATTTGAACTTTTGAAGATTGGTTTGTTCAAACACCCACCCCTCCCCAGGACCAAAATTGTGTTCAAGGCACAGACAACAGTCAAAAACTCATGAGTTGCAGGGGGGGATGTTGAAGCCTATTGGCATATTATAAGCAGGCAAAGGGTCAGCACATGGTGGATTTTGGTATACTTTGAAATGTATGTCTTTTAAAAATAGGTTCTCAGTTTATCCCCCAAGATCTGAGTAATTTGCAATTCAACCTTGCAGCTGCTACTTAATTGATTTTTAATTCATTAAGAGAATTTCCAAAATCAAGTAGATGCTTGCCAAGTGATAAGGTCACCATTTCTGATCATCTCATTGTTAGATAATGAAGTGTAACTTCCACGAGTGACCAAGACAGAATTTCTCCTTACAACATCAATACAATATCAAGCAGAAAGATGATGAGAATAAAGAAAAATATCAATTAGGGAATTATCAGTTGATCCAATACCAAATTCTCCAAACTATCATTATAAGAATTGAATGTCAGACAGTAAAGAGAATTGCTAAAATGATCGTGGGAGTGAAAAGGGTTAAAGATAAGTAACATGTGAATTGGTTATGATATGTTTACAGGTGGGATGACTGTATTGATGTGGTGAGACTTCACCTCCTTTGTCATCCGGGAAGCGAGATAACACGTCGAATTGGAAAGAACAACTTAAAAGGCTTCTCTATGCTCCGGGTTAGTGTTACATATGTATTGTGAATACCCACACAGTCCAAATGTTTTCCTTGACATTAAAGAAGAGAAGAGACAAAGGTATGGAAGATCAGGGTATTTGATGGATTACCAGTTGTTCCGTACACACAGCAGTGTCATACTCAAACCTGCACTTGCAGTTTTTGTTAAGAAATTCAAAAGTATATAAAATAGAATGTTTGATTGAAAATATCACACTTACCTTGCACAAGGCAATAATTTAGTTATTGCCAAGGTCACAAGTATACACAACAGAACTCTGTTTTCATCTTACTTGGTTGACTCTACTAACTATGCAATAATCAACTTTTAACCCCTAAGAGTGACCAGCATCTAATTTCTCCTCACAAGGTTACCCCTGAAGATAACATTAAGGTCATGAGAATAAGGAAAATGATCAACAACTAAATAAGCCCTGGATTGTTAAACAAATTCTCCTTTCAGAACCCTAAGAAATGTACAGAGAAAGTATGAAGAATATGCATACTGATGTTAGGGTGTATAGGGTTAACGTCAAGAGGGAGATAGCAGACAAAGGTATAGGCTGGGGTAATCAAGCATGATGTTGGAAGCATGGTTTTCTTTATCCCCATGTCTTGCCCCAACTTTCCCAACTTGTTGGAGTGACCAACTAGGAATTTCTCTTTACTATATCCAAACTAGAAGGTAACAAGAAGAAGACAAAATATCAACAAAGGAATATTGTTTGATTTAACATCAAATTCTCAGAATGTGAATCACAAGCAACATATGGGGGACAGTACAGATTGTTGATATTAAGATCTTGGAGTAAAAGTGTGAACCCTCTACATCCTATCATCAGTATAGATATTCTCCTCACTGTCCTTTTAACATTTGCTATGACGAGGAGAATTTGTTTGACAATCAGGAGCTTCTTAATTTGGTGGTTAAAGGGTTAACCCTTTACACCCTAACATCAATACTTATATTCTCCCTACTGTTTTCTATACATTTTCTTAAGTGCTGACAAGGAGAATTCATTCAACAGTCAAGAACTTTAGTTGCTGATCATTTCCTTTATTCTTGTGGCCTTAATGTTTGATTCAGGGGAGTGTTGTAAGGAGAAACGGGATGCGTCTCTTTTTGGGGTGAAAGGATTAAATTTTCCTCAGATTTTTTATAACAATTTTACTGTTCAAGAATGCAAAGTTCTGTTTTGTTATCCCTGATTTTCAGGCCTTCCTCAGAAATTGTGGGACACAAGGTACATTGAAGAAGTTAGAAGACCACATGGCACATCCTACTGAGGAGCAAAATGTGGGGACATCATCAACCTCTGTAAATTAGAGGCAATGCTTTAAAGAGAAAAATTAAAATACATTGTCTTGTTTTTTGGTGTTTGGAATCATTGTACTTTTGTAGTTTATTTAGATGGCAAGCAGAAGCCAAATTTGATTCTCATGTGAGTCAGGTTTAATGTTACTTGGTTTGTGCATTCACACCAAGGTCCAAGAGTTAATTAATCACGACAAAAATGTTTGATTGGTGTGGCTCTACTTAATTCTTTACACCCCAATATCAGTATGCATATTCTTCAAACTGTTCTGTAGACATTTCCCTAAGTGCTAACAAAGAGAATTTGTGTAACAATCAAGAGCTTCCTTTGTCAGTGATCATTTCCTTTATTTTCATGAACTTAATGTCCAATTCCAGGGTGATATAGAGAACATTTGGAAGAATCACCAACTAAAGAATTTCAATTGCTTAGTAAATTCTCCTAGTTGGCACTCAGGGAAATGTATAGAGAATAGTATGGAGAATATGCACACTGATGTTGGGGTGTAAAGGGTTAAGATAAATGTTTCCCACCTGCACCCCTTTCCCATCTCCCCTCTTAACTCTTTAACTCCCATGAGTGACCAAGATAGAATTTCTCCTTACATTATCAATAGTGTGTCAAACAGAACAGTGATGAGAATAGAGTAAAATATCAGTGAGGGGATTATAAGTTGATCCAATACCAAATTCTTCAAACTAACATCACAAGAACTGTATGTCAGACAGTAAGGAGAATTATTGAGATCTTGGGAGTTGAAGGGTTAAAACAAGCTTGGTACAAAATAACTGTTCAATCCACACATTCAGCACATCAAAGAGAAGAGACTCAACTGACCTTGCATTATGATTTAATACTTAACTGGGAAGTAACTTATGACATATCTCCTCTCTTCAGTAAAAGCTTTACTCATCCTTTATTAATTAATAGTAACAATAATAATCACAAAGCCCTTTTAAGAGACAGTTGTCATAGAACAACCCAAAATCAGAATAAACAGGTTAGTGGGATGAAGTCCAAATTACTTATTTTGAACAAGGAAGTGCATTCAACCTGTGATTTCAACCACGTAAATTGTGATAATTATTCACCAAGATAATTCAACAGGTCGGCTAGAGTGCAAAAGGTCTTTCACAATAGTGGGCCTGATTAACCGTCTTTTATTTGCACACAAAGCAGTCATCATGGTCTTGCTTTTGCATGGAAACTCTACTGTCTTTAAACTTGTAGTCACGGTCAGAACAACTAGTTCACATCAGTAGAACCAATACACCATTCTACAGTTGCCTGCTTAGTTGCCAAGCCTTTGAACAGGAGTGAGGCTAAGGTTGACCTTGTTATG